GGGCTTTTCTTAGGTAAAGAATCGTCTGCATTTGATTGCTTTGTTTTCTCCTTCATGCATGGTGCATTGATTCCCTTCCTTGATGATAGCTTTTTAGACATGATTATGCATTTACACATTTTCTTAGGAAAACAGCTTAACGAAAGCTTTCTATGAATTTTCCTGCTTCATTCTATTTTTCTACAAGAACCTCCCAAGTCCACTTCTTTCTTTGCCCGAAACGATAATTTCTTTGATCATAATTGAGCTTCTGTAACCATTCTTAGCTAAAAAAAGTCCAATAAAAGCTAATACTGGGTTCTACTAGTTTATAAACTTTTTTAAATCAGATGTTTTGGTCGTTTTTTTTATTTAACTACTTCACTTTTACAGAGATTTTCAGGTAAGAAAGCTCATCAGAGGCTTCTATTGAATTTTCCTGTTCGAAGTGTGTGACTCTGAAAATATGGTGTACCTACACACGTAAGACTGATGCTGCATATCTCAAGATAACAATAGAGAGTTTTTAGTATTCTTGTTTTGCTGCTCATGTATGATCTTCTTTGTATATACTGATAATAAAGGGCTTATTTCGTAAGTTTATTTTTTCCTCATTCAGCGCTGTTACCAGAATTCGTAAAGCTGGGTAAGCTTAAATAAATTAATAATAAGTTTAAAAAGTATTTGTCAATGTACAATAGAAATAAGAGTTTTAGATCGCAGATAAGAAGAAATGCAAGAAATAGGTAGTGTTCTAAATGAATTGAATTGTCCTTATTTTTGTTATATATGCAAAGTGTTGTAGTTATGTAGTTCTACTAGTTTTGTGGTCATGTTCTGTGGTTCTGTGATTCTAAGCCTATTAATTTTTTTTTCGGTTTGGACACAAGTGTAAGTCTACGAGATATTTCAAACATATTTTGTATGCGAGTTCAACCAGCATGGGCCTGTTTATGTTAGACATTCCATTCCTCCTCCTGACACTTGTTCCCAGGGTAAGCTTGCACGAACATCATTTACTCGCAAATGGGTACATTGTTACTGTGCTACTGGTTGTTGTATTTTGGTTGCCTGAAAGGTGAGCAATCACTGAGTATTTCCTTTATTTTGCTGCACTGCACGGATTTCTAACTGTAATATTTTTGTATTCATGTTGTCGTAAGCCATATTTATAAAGATGCTTTGATCATATAACTATAATTCTATTAATTGCTTACGGGCTCAATAATTATCGATAAGGTTAGGGTTATTAAATGGCTCATACCGATGTGACGCCTCCAGTTTCTGGGGGTGACAAATTCGATTATGCTCTATGGAGCCTCTATATACAGGGTGGCGCATCGAAAACGAAACAGACGCATTTACTGGCAGCTCAGTTTTTTTTTGGAAAAACGCTCAGACCCGTCGATTTCGTTTTCGATGGGACAAAAGTTTGGCAAAAAATCACGTTAACACGTGCAGCCCCTGGGTGGCGGTGACATCAACCCTAAAATCTTAAATGGAAAGGGGGGTCGAATGATACCTTATTTTAAAGGTCTTTCAATTCCCTTTATAATGATGTAAAATACATGAGCTTCACTTCAGTAGTTTTGAAGATTTATTGATTTAAAGCTTAAAGTACTTAAAGTAGACTTTAATATCAGATTAGTTTGTACTAGTTTGACCAAAATAATTTAATTAATAAGTAAATGCTTTTCTTGACTACGCCCATGGTTTGTTTATCATTTTGTTGTTGAAAATAGCAATTGGAGCGTTTTTTTGTGGCAAAAAAGTTATTTCTTGAGGAAAGCTAAGGAAATATCTCGTACTTATTTTAAATAGGAATTTAGTACATAGTTTGCGATTGATTTGACCAAACTTTGTTGCTAAAATAACTTGATTCTTACATAAATTAACCATGGTATATTCCACAGCAGAAATAGTTGAAATTATCGAAATATTTTTCGGAAATAATCAGTGCGCTAATAGAACAGCAGAAATATTTAATGAGCGGCATGAGAACAGTAAAGTGCATCGAAAATATGTTCTAGAACCTGTAGCTAAATTTCGGGAAACTGGGTCAGTCGCCAATAAAAAACGCAACATTGAAAATCATATAAGGAACGAAGCAATAGAAGTGGGGGTTTTAGGGCAAGTTTATGTAGATCCTACGTTAAGTACCCGCAAATTGGAGACTGTGTGTGATGTTAGTCGACGTACTGTCCGACGGATTTCTAAAGGCCCATAGTTTTCATCCGTATAAAATTCACCTGGCACAAGAACTTAATGAAGACGATTTTGATCGGCGATTACAATTTTGTGAAGATATCAGTGAACGAATTGTAAACGATGAACATTTTCTATTCAACACTTGCTTTTCCGACGAATGTTCCTTTTTCTTAAATGGCGTAGTACATCGTCATAACTGCCGATATTGGTCCGATTCTAATCCCAGAATTTATCATTTAGTTGGTCTTTTTTTTACCTGGAAATTTGACCGGTGAAATGTATTTGGAATTACTGGAAGACGCCATAGATCCTGCATTGCGAATAGGTTGATGTTCCAACAGAATGGTGGCCCACGACATTACGCATTACGTGTTCGACAATATTTAGATCAGACGTTTCCAGATCAATAGATTGGTAGAAGAGGTGCCATTGAATGGCCTCCAATATCGCCAGATTTATCACCTTTGGATTTCTTTATGTGGGGTGATTTAAAAAGCAAAATCTATGGAGTGCCTACAAATTACTCCTCAAATATTGCAAAATGTGCGGCAACGTTTTGAGCAAAATCTTTGTATCGCATGGAAAGTCATGGTATGGTGGCCATTTTCAACATTTACTTGCCTAACGGGTCGGATCATTCTTCATTTTTAAATTACTTTGCTGCCAAATGTATTGATCTCCACTAATGAAGATGTATTAGTTTTATTTACGCTTTAAATCAATAAATCTTCAAAACTACCGAACTGAAGTACATTAATTTTATATCGATATAAAGGGAATTGAAAGACCTTAACAAAATAAGGTATCACTCGACCCCCCCTTCCATTTAAGATTTTGGGGGTGGTGTCACTCCCGCATAGGGGGCTGCACGTGCTAACGAGATTTTTTGCCAAACTTGTGTCCCCCTCGAAAACAAAATCGACGGGTCTGAGCGTTTTTCAAAAAAAGAACTGAGCTGCCAGTAAATGCGTCTGTTTCGTTTTCTATGCGCCACCCTGTATAACAGGGCCTTGAGGAAAAAGAAATATAGGCAGATAATATTGAGAAGCCAGCGAAAAGTTGTGCTGCGCGTGGTATGCGCTAACAGAACGGTGTCGATCGATGCACTGCTGGTGGTGGCTGGTATCCCGACAATTGATTTGCTGGGATTTGATGGGATGCAACTGGCCATGGTGCATGGACCAGAAGGCTGATCTCAGAGATTAAAACAGTTCCTTACATGACCTGGTTGTTTCGACAGCTACCTGAAGAGGGTAGGAAAGAGAGAGTATGCGAACTGTGTATTTTGCTAGTCACCTACTCCAATGTGGTAGGTGGATTGACTACCAGATGCAGCTCAAACTGACGCTCGGCAAGAGGCTTACCGCTGACACTTTTTCCACGCATAAACGCTAGGGAAAGTGGGTGGACATTCAACCAGCAGTGAGGCGAATTATGCTGAGTAAAGTGCGGGAGAACAAAAATAGACCAAGGAACCAATAGTAAGTTTCTATCTTGCTCGGTTGTACATGTACATATGTAAAAATTATGTATTTGTACGATAGAGAATAAATGACCAATACCTTTGGTATGAGAACCTAGCGCAATGCTACCTACTATGAAGAAATGCTGCAAGCATTACCTTGGCGGGATGTGTGGCGAACGACTAAGGGTTTTAGTGGGTATGAAACTTCTAAAGAATCTCACACTTCGGGCAGGAATGGCCGGCAGGGCAATACTGTCGAGTTTTTCTGCCTGAGAGTGGTTATAAAGTAATATTGTTGCGAAAGTTATTCACCCCATTACGCGTGAACGTAGATTCGTCTGTCACCAATATGCACTTCAAAAAGTCCGGATTATTGTCATGTTGATGCAACAACCACTCACAAAACCGCACTCTTGCTGGAAAATCGTCAGGTTGAAGGGCTTGTACACGTTGGACGTGAAACGGATACAGCCCCTCTTCACGCAGCGTTTGCCACACTTTAGTTTTTGATACTTGCACTTCTCTAGCCACGTCCCTAGTGCTTGTTGAGGGATTCTCGTCTACGCGATTGAGTAGTTCTTCCTCAACTTACACCATTCGTGGTTGTCTAGGCCTCCCACTGTGCTCACCTCGAAATTCCTCCAAATGACCCGTATCCCTGACTCTCTGGACCAGGTACACAAATCTGCGGGGCCTTGGATGATGTCGACTAGGGAAACGATCTGCATACACTCGCGAAGCCTCTGTAGCATTTTGAAGACATTCGCCATAAATTAACAACATAGCAACGAGTTCATTATTGGTGTATGAGTGTGCCATTATTATTCTTTTATTTGAAACGCAATCGATTATACTGGTTCGTTTACCTCTACACGCGTAACCGTAACCGTCGGTTGAAGGTTGCATACTGACCTGACACACTGACCCCGACCCAGTTCTGTCGTCGGGTTGAGCCAGTGACCTTGTACCACTCGGTGATGTCGCGGGTCGCGGCTACAGGACGGTATTCAGATATTTTTGATGTTGCAGAGCCCTTTACCTCGGTTCCCTTAAGACATTGGTGTATATGGTACTAAGAAAAATTGCTTATGTTTTCAAGATCTACACGTCGTGTAAAGGAAAACCCCAACTTTGCGGATACCCTGTATAATAAATCATAAATAAATAGTCTGTATGATGAATTAGTACCACTGCGGATGATTAACGTAATCGTAAGGTAGTAGAGTTGTGCGTGTTATGGTCGGTTGAATATGGGAGGCACTTAAATCATTTTTCTAAAAATAGTTGTTGGCTCCGACAAACCGGTTATATCGCCCTTATCGCTTACCAAAGGGGATAATTCGTTGTCATTCTGTCACCAAGCAAGTTGCAGTAATGTTCTCCTGAAATTGTTCGACTTATCGAATTCTTTACGTACTGGCCTTGTAATAAAAATAAAATGGTACAGGGTAGTTCTTAGAAATCTTCTAAGGCGTGTTTGTTGTTTTCATGATTATCCTCCCACAATCATCTTACGCTATTCCTATAATTTTTCCATGGGAAAATCGAAAATAAAATATGCTACCTGTCGTGATTGACAGTATTGTCATATTACCACGGTTCATTTTAGTAGTCATAAAAAATCTTGTTTTCTTAAACATCCTTTTTTTATATGGCTGTCAAAAATAAGATAACGGAATGCTTAACCATTCGTTGATTTTGTTACACCAAAACCTCTCTATTGCTTGCAGCATTCCAATATACTGATAATAATACTGTATTTTTTCGCTACGCCTCTGAATCGAACTTTCCATTACATTCTGATTCATACACTTTCCGATAATGCAATGTATCGTAAACAAACAGTATATGACTTTCTCGGTGACACAAAATAATAATGTCAATTAGAATATTAACTTACGGTACTTCCAAAATGCATATCCCCTTCCTGGTATGGTTGAACTGACCTCTGGGAGCACCCTGTAGCTGCGCACCATGACAAAATACAACAAAAATACCGACGATTCCCGCACACAGAAGCATCTTGTCTCGCAGCATTTCAACGACTCTGTCCAGATTTAGAAAGCTTGTCCAATGACCGGAAACTGACGCCGATAATTTTTTTGTTTATCTAAGAATGTTGTAGCTTTTGTTCTTTTTTTAACGTAGCGTGTATGGCGATATCGAGAAAAGTGAGATTCGATGTTAGCATTTCTTACTTTGCATATATTATTATGTTCGCTAGTGGGGGTCACAAGATCGCAAGTTAATTTGATATTCTTGTTTCGCAGCCATAAGCGGAGAAGTAGGTGAATGTCAACGTTGTTTGGGACGAAAATGAAATTTTTCAACATTGGACGATCGACAACATATTTTTTATGGTTCTTGGCGGGTCACAGTAGAAATACATACATTCGTCTCTCCCATACGTACGTATACAATCGTCCCCCACCCGCGGATGTTTGTTAAAAAGTCATAAGTTTTCTATCAAAATAAGACAGTACGAAGTGCCATCTATCACCAGAATCGACCACTGCGAGAGCTAACCATGCTGCTGAGTTGCCAAAAAGCACGGAACGGCTATCTACGAGTATGGTTGGCTGTCTTTGATCGGACGGACGAAAGCAGCATGTTTATATGATTTTAATTTGATCTCACCACCTTAAAATCTTTCAACGTAGTCTTTCACATTTATGCTATTCACAATCAGTATGACAACTTGCTTATCATGGGCGTGTGATTTGAGTTTGCCGTTTATTGATCTTCGGTATAAGATATAAGATATTTTTTCGTGAGATCCTCTAGTGGAGCGGGAACAGGTAAAATTTCCCCTTCCTCTCGAAGTTTTGACAGTTTCAAGTTATACCGGGAGTGGTTAGTTGGTGCATGTTGCGCAAAATGTTAGCTTTAAGCTTCTTGATACACTTAGCTGCCTTGTTTGAATCTGAAATAAAAAGACCGATCGTTTTTTGTGCAATGTACATTTATATCAATAAAATTAAGCATTTGATATGACCTTCTTCTTTGTCATTTAAAAATCAGGTGAACGTTTTCCTCCATTTATGATTTAATAATTTAACTCAATTTTCGGCAGTGCGAAGACAAATTTTCAATTGACACGTCTGTTTTTTAAATGATATTGACATAAGATCTGTCATCCGCTAGTACCTCACAGACGTTAGGCGGTTACCTGTACCACGTGAATTTTTGACATTTGGATGACCTCACATCACTCTTCCCCTATTCCCGTTCTTTGCGAAAATTTGAGTATCCGTTCCCGTGCGAAAACCTACAAAACGTCAAAAAAACCTATAAGATGTCAACTTGTAGACTAGGTAGTTTTTAAGGCGCAAACAGTCATTCCACGTTTGCTCACTAGGATCGTTGTGAACGTCCATCTATGAAGGAATCACTCAACTAAACTACCCGCATTATTGGTTGCATAGTTTTGTGAGGCTGAGTGATCCATGTCTGTAGTTTTTATCTCTGAGAAGAAAGTTGGTTGAATATCTGTATTGGTCTGCATGTGTATAAAATCCGTGATATTTGCTGTGTGAGAAAATCATTACTGAATATGCTGAATATGACGGGTTATTTATATGTTGTGCTTTCTGAAGAGAGTTTATGTTCAAAGTTATAGATTACGAAAAACTGAGGAGAATTACGGGAAATCATCACCCCGCCCGCGTTGTATGTAATTACTGTTAGCATGTATATGACTTGTAATTCGACAGTGTACATTGAATATAATTATTTCTTATCTCCCTCATTTTTTAAATTCAGCAAATTTGTATATGTAATTTCCAGAATGGATAAGAAAAAGCGGATGCGCAACTAGCTTTGAATCTCAATTAAGTGTATTTGAGACAAGAATCCAGTATAATTATCAACTCATACAACTTACCGCTTAGACCTCTAGTAATGCCATCTCAGAAGCAGGTTTTACATCACGTCAGAGCCAAAGATTAATAACAATCTACATGACGTTTAGGCAACACGTACAACTAAGTACTAAGTCAAAGTCTTGGCGAAAAACTTACATAATGTCAAAAAAATGAGAATATTGTAAAAAAAATATGCATAATGTCACATTTCAAGATACGTGATACCCGTGCCGGTAGCGCACTTCTACACCGTGGACTTGTGAAAAAATCCTTATAGAAATGCTTGAAGATACAAACCAACTGTGTTAACAGTTTGTGTTAAAATTATTGGAATATTTTCAGAAAAACGATAAAAACCGTTGTCCAATTCACGGGTCTTTGCAAGAGCAAGTTGCATCTGCGCTAAGGATTGGCTTGTGCAATCTGCCATGTCCTTTAGGGGTTAAGCTGTCTGGCCGCAGTCTTAGAACATGTTTACTTCCGGCGTCTCTACCGAGGAAATATTGTAATCGCGAAACATTTCGAAATATTACGATTTTTTGATGTTACATGACATGTACATTTCGAAAAACCATCTCAGTCATTTCCGTCCGACTGTCTGTATGTCTATCTGCCGGTCTGTCGGTCTGTCTGTCGGTCATCCGTTCATCTTTAACTAGGAAAGTACCTCTCAGAATTAGTGAAATTTCACGGTTACAACAATGACAAGGACTTATTGAAAAATGCGAAAAAAAGAAAAATCGCCTAAGCTTCGTTTTTTGACGTTTCAGAGGATCCTGATCATTTGTGACAAATTTTGTATCGCGATATTTTGATGTTAGTATATTAATTTACTTACAGTCCCGGTAGTTCAACGCATCTACTAGACATATTTCACAGGACATAGATTTCGCCGTACATTTGCCTGTAAAACAAAAAAATATTTTCAACAGGCAGATCGCGAAACTACCGGTCGCACATGCCGTGCGCCACGGTTTGTAAATATAGCATATTTAGTAGTGGATCCGAGGGACCTGTAAAAGCAAGTTGCAAACGGCACTATATGTATATACGAGTTGGCCGGACATCATCTATAAATATAAGCATTATGCTTATAGTGTAATTTAATGAAGTCACTTGATTTTGTGGGGTGATAATATACATGGTGGCCCATCCATGTGTGTACGGAATATTTCTCATACACAAATACATTTTGGGAAAATCTATTCATGGCATGGTATACATGACATTTCAGGGCACAGTTCTAAAATATTGGCATTTATACAGGGTGTCACAATTTTGACCTACATAGCAAAGTTGTGATTTTATAAATAGAATGCCTCAAATTTTATTGCATATTTGGATAAGCCAATTCAAAAGAAGAAGATTGATAACATACCATGGGGCTTTGGTAATTAGCTACTGAGATATAAGGTGTTTTGTCCTGAAAAACCGTCCCTTTCGGCAACCTCTCAATCCGCAATTTTGAAATTTGGAGTGCTAAGCAAAAATTAAAATTCGAAAAAGTAACAAATAAGATAAAAGCTGAGGTGTGTATTTTTTTTATACAAAATTCAGCACTCCAAATTTCTAAATGGCGTACCAAGGGGTTGCCAGAGTGGGGGGTTTTTCTAGACAAAACACCTTATATCTCTGGCTAATTACCAAAACCCCTTAGTATGTTTTATCAATTTTCTTTTTTTGAGTTGATTTATCAAAATATGCAATAAAATTTGAGGCAATCCATTTGAAAAATCACAACTTTGATATGTAGGTCAAAATTGAGACACCCTGTATAATGGCCAATATTTTAGAAATGTGCCCTCAAATGTCATGTATAACATCCCATAAATAGATTCTCCCAAAATGTATTTATTTATGAGTAATATTCCGTCCACACATGGATGGGCCACCCTGTATAGTATGGTATAATATAATATATGAATACGTATCAAGAGCTATTATGATCAGTTATCAAACATTGTTGACAAACAGTCCAAAGAAATGGGGCTACCGTGTACGGACATGCTCATTGGTCCAATCTGAAGAAATTATTTTCGTAGAAAGCCCAAAAACTGTACTAATGGTCGGAATGACAAAATCTACGTCTTTTTCTACATTATGTCATTTTTTTAAATAGAGTAGGAGGGGCATGTGATAACCTTATGACCTTGGAGCATAAAATTCATCATATTCCAGCACCACGTACTGGAAGGTCCTAGAATATGTATAAAGTCACTATCTTTCAGCATGACTCACTGGCAAGCTGTCAAAGTTGAGCGTTTTTGTAGACAGAATTTCCTATAACCCAAAAATTAATCGTCAAAACGCAACAGTTCGTTGTATAAATTGGAATGATATTCATATCAGTGTTATCTGGAATACCGGGTGTTTAAAATGCGACCCTCACCATTGGGATATCAAAAACTGAGAAACGAAGTCGCTTTAATATATAAAGAATATAGAACGTTTCGAAATTCAAAGTATTTCTAGAGAGAGACGAAAAAAAGCGAGTTTTCCCAAAATCATTTTAACTTTTTATGACATTATTTATAGTGAGATTTCAAAAAAATTTAACACTAACTTTGCAATTTTTCTCCTCTACAAGACGGCAAAATTAGACTTTCAATATGACGTTGCGCCTCTTGTCTTCCAGCATCAACTTTATTTCTTATTATAGACGCCATATTGGATTTCGGAACAGATAAATAGAGTTTTAGATTCCGATTCCAAAAATGTATAATAAGACATACACACATTGTCATTGCCAAACCTTGAAAAAGCAGAATTTCCTAGGTAGGTCTTGAAATTATCATTTGTTTTGTATACCAGATTTATCCCAAGACGATTTTCATTTTTCCTGACTTTATTTGAGATGGGATTCCAAAATAAATTACTGTTGTTCATTGTAACTCTTATTCTCCTCTACAAGATGGCGTAGTCAAATTTTCAATTCGCGGTTTCTTCTTTCGACTTCCATCACCAATTTTGTTTTTGTTTTTTCATATGGACGTTATATTGCAGTTTTGTACAATTGAATGAACTTTTCAATCATGAATTCAGTGATGTATTTCCTTAGTTCGCCATGAATTTGTCGATGGATGAACATTACAAGGAAATAAAAAGGTACGGTAAGACCTGAACACAAAATAAAAATTTTATTCATGGTAATAATTATAATAATAATAATAATAAAAATTATGAGAATAATAATAATAATAATAATAGTAATCATAAATATGCAGGGGTAAATCTTAACCAATGTTCAAAATATCTGTTATTGCCTGACCCTTCTCTGTACATTGCTCACTGCTCGATTTATTTCCCTTCTTCTCAGTCTTCCAAACTCTGTTGCTATGTTCAATTTGAGGTCCCGACTGGTATACGAGACAAATGACTATGATAATTTCAAGGCCTACCCAGGTACTTTTGTTCTTCTGGAATAACTAAGGTTTGTAAATATCAATTTGTGTCATATTACATTTCTGAAATAGATTTAGAAGCTCTATTTATCTGCGCAATATGGCGTCTATGAGAAAAAATAATGTTGATGCTGAAGGACGAAACATCATACTGAGTTTCTAATTATGCCATCTTGTAGAGGAGGAA